CTTCATGACACTAAATAGAATGTAAAGTTCTTTCACAGGGAGAGGGTGGAGATGAGGCCCAAGGCCCAAGGCCCAAACCAAATAGAAAAACAGCACAGAGTTAGCTTAAACCAAGAGTTTTCAAACGTTTGGAAGTCACCAAAGTTTTACTTCATTTTTTAGTGGAACCACAATTCCAGAGTAACATTTCAGTAATATATATACAATGAATAATAACAAGGCAGAGTTTATACTTATTTTTAGTAAATAAGCAATAGGAGTATAGGCCAACTAGGAAGTAGCAATACAAAATAATAAGTTGGTAAGGTGGGTAGAAAATTTGGAGGAATATTCCCTTTCCTGCTTATATTACAAACCCATGTCACATTAGTACCAGTGCCATTTTCCCCTCCATACGCAGCTCCTGCAATGAGGGCTTTCTCGGAAGGTTGATGTACAAGAGAGCACCTAAGGGGAGACTTTAATTTAGAGAAAAGAGATCAAAGAACTAGATTTGGAAACAATGTTTACACCAATTAATAAAGTAAGAAAACAAATACTTCACAAAACACTTAGCTTTAGTCTACTCAAATACTTAGCAAAGCCAAGGCCAGCTAGCGTCCCTCTGCTGGGCAACACCTGGCTGCCCACCCACTTCATTCATTCCTTGCAAGGACCTCATGAGGTAGGTATTGCCTGAGGCATCACGACGTGTGTGATTTGCCCAAGGCCACCAGTATGTTGCGGAACTGGGCCCGCTGACTACTCGGCACTCCGCTGCCTCCCAAGTGGGGCCATGAGTAGTGGTGCCTCCTAAGTTTATGGAGAGGAAGAAATATGGTGACTCCTGAAAAAGGCTCAGCATGTCTGCCTGGCAAGTGGTAAAAGCTTTAATAATTGACAACTATCTTTATTACAATTGTCAAAAGTCACCCAGCTCCTGAGCAGCAAAGCTGGAACTGAAAACAGACCAGGTGGACCCCAAAACCCATACACTAGTCATAGAGGTCACCCTAGATTTCTACAGTATGGAATTTGAATACCTAACCTAGTTCCCCCCAAAAAGACCAAGGAACAAAGGGGTGCGCCAAAGGATTCCATCCCAGCCCTGAAGCATTAAAGCTAGCACTTGGCAGACTCTCACTCTAGAACATTTTCGGAGAGACTCCAAACGTCGGGTGTGAAGGTTGTGCAGCCCAGCATAAGTGTTCTGGGGCAGGGCAAAGGGAAGGGAAACGGGACAGCGCCTTCCATGGGATCTGCCTCCCCACCCCAAGCAATTCCCTTCTGTGCACTCTGCATTCAACCTACTCTGCCCACAGAAGGATTTTAAATAGTACCTGACTGTAAATGCAAACAGTTCAGTGTCAAGTAAAAAAACAAAAAAAATCACTACACAAACACCAACTTATCGTCAAGACTGGAGAACACAGCTGGGCTCCAGTTAGAACTTCTAAGGTTATGACAAAGCATATGGCAATAAACCAGCAAGACACCAGAGCACATGGGAGGAAGGGCTAACTCAACAGCCCCTGAATGCCCACCGCAATTTATCAGGATGTCCAACATCACTTAAGACTGAAGATACTTAACTTACTTCATACACAAGACACTTCTCATCTCTATTGGAATGGTTTTCAAGAGCCAAATAGGGAATCTGATGTTAACTTTGTAACAATGCACAGAGAGGGTGAACAGTAAATGTTTCCTTCCTGGTCTCTATCCAGGAGCACATAGCAGTTATTCAATAAAACTTTGTTAAAAGAAACTTTACACACCATTTAGTCTAAATTTGGCCCCAATAAAGATTCCTTGTTAAGCACTTTGGAGAGACTACCAATCAACATTTGCATAAACATACAACACTTACTACTTTGGGAGGGAGCCTAATTTATTCCCTCATTAGACAGTTCTCACTGTTAACAAGTTCCTTTCCAAGTAACAGCAAGATGCAAGACAACTAACTCTCTAAGCGCTTAGGCTGCGTACCCCTTCTAGCACTTTCTACCACTAGGAAGTGGCAAAGGCAGGATTGGAACCCAGGCATCCAGTGTGGCTGCTCTGAGTCACTACATTACTCCACTCCCTGGACCCTATGCTGCCCTCTGGGCACAAGAGAGCCCCTTCTACACGCAGGCCTCTAAAATCAGAATTCATCATCTCACCTCCTTGTTCAGTCTCTGCGAGACCTCACTGCTACCATCGAGACCCCTCTGACCCACAGGCAGCTCTCTTTTCAGTCTGGCACTTTTTTGTTTAATTGTGCTTAACTGTTTGCAGTGAATGGCTCACTTCTCTATGTACTCTTAAGTTCCTGGTAGAGGCTACTATATTTTGCTATACTCCTCTCATCCTTAAGCATCATGCTCAAGTGAGGCTAGTACATATGGCACTGGTGTTTTCCTCCTATAGAAGTCATCTGCCTAGAAAATTAATATCAAGTTTGAATGTAAAAATTATGAACTATAATGTTAAAAAATCAAGCCTCATTACAATAAAATGTTTATTTCTCCTTTATGTTTTTCAATAAATACATATTTCTTAAAAATAGGTATGCTACACTTGTGCAGTAACACACTGGGGTAAAATGCATTTCTCCAGTATTTATTTATTTAAAATAATATTCTTTCAAACAAAACAGAAATAGGCTCATAAATACAGGGAACTGGTGGTTGCCACTGCAGAGCAGGATGGGAGGACAGGTGAAATGGAAGAAGGGGATGAAGAGGTACAAACTTCCAATTATAAAATAAAGAAATCACAAACACAGGGAATATAGCCAATAATACTGTAATACCTTGGTTACAGATAGTAACTATACATATCGTGGTGTGGTGAGCATTTCATACTATATATAATTATTGGATCATTATGTTGTACACCTGAAACTAATAAAATACTGTATACCAAACAATACTTCAACTTAAAAAAAGAAAAAAAATGAATATTCTTTAGTTTGTTTCATCAGATAATCTGAACTGGGTTCATTCAAAGGCTTACACATTTCTCAGCTGTTAAGTAGAAACAGGCTCCATCAGTCACAGAGAGTTGATAAGTTATAGAAATGAACTGACATAACAAAGGGTTTATTCCTTCCTTTATTATCAACTACATATCTGACACAGGTTAGGTCTGGGGGCTAGACTGTGCAGGAAGGGGCCGTGTGCTCCACATAATGATTCAGGGACCCAGGCTGGTACAGGCTGCGCTCCAAAGCAGAGCTGGAGAATCTTACTGCTTCTGCCCTGAGTGAGGAGTGGGACATACTGCTTCTCACAGGTCATGAGCCAGAACTAGTCACGTGCCAGAACTAGTCACGTGGTCCCACCTAACTGCAAGGCCACTGGGAAATGGCGAAGGGCACATGGACAGTCACTGAGCAGTGATGTTTCTGCCACAAAGGCAGCTCTGGATGTATGAAAATGGAACAATCTGTGACCTGTATATTAGGTGAAAAAGCAGGGTGCACAACAAGGCACATGGTATGCTATTGTCTGTGTTAAAGAGAAAGTGGGGGAGGGACAGAACAAAAAACCTCTGGAAGAATACAGAGACACTAGCAACACTGTGGTGATAATGTCACTTCTTGAAAGGCAAGCTAGGTGACAAGAGCCAGGAAGAAGGGAGACTTATCTTTAATGGCTGCCCTTTTCTATCATACGCGTTCATTATCTATTTAAAAACTGAGATCATTTTTAGACTGTGATGTACACACATCAAATTAATGAGTTGTTTTTTTCTGAAAAAAGTCCAATCTATTGTAATACAAGAAACACCAAATCCTTGACTCATCTTGCCTGAAATTGAACCCCTGGAGTACCTCTGACACAATCATATCCTTTTGCAAAGCCTTGCTGAGAGAGCTTGGACTGGCCTCTGTCTATTCTAAATATAAACATCACTATGCAGGTGATGAGGAAAAGTACTTGGGTTGATAAACTGTCTCCTTTTGGAAAGAATTGTCCTGTTATTTCAATTCAGGTACCATTTTCTAAAATAAAGATGCAGGCTGAGCCCTACACAAAATGCAACAAACCAATCCTCTGGGTTTCCAAGAAGCAAACACTGCTGTTTCAGTGTTAAATTGTGGAATGCACAGACACTGAATCCTTTACAAAAATCATAATCAACAGCCTCAAATAATTTTTAAATACTTCACATGTCAGATATGCCAGGGGACAGCCACTGGGGCTTATGACAAGGCAACCCAAGAGCACACATGCCCCCTCACGCAGTTGTTTGTCTTAAACAAAAGCAGACTCCCACTGATGTGCGGCTGATGCCGGGCACCATGATGAGTGCAGGAGGCAACCAGTCAGGCCAAGTTGCCAAAAGGACTTTCACAATTCATTTAGACTTTAACATCAAAAAAAGACCTAATAAAAACAGGCTCATACTTCTCCATTCACCACACTTTAAATACCAGGCTCCAAGAGAAACAGCACTGTCAAGGCCACCCTATGGATTTTACTTCTAAGTTTAGGCTAAGCATATTACAGAGCAGCTTTTTACATCCCCAAGTTGGTACTTAACTAGCCTGTGACTATCTCTCAAGCTCTACAATGTACTGTCCACATTTAAATTTCAGTGGAAAATCAACTACCACGAATTGCATTCAAATATCGGTATTAGGCTTTCTAAACTGAAAGTGTCTGGGTGTATTGTGAGATTAATGGTATTAATACAAGAATCAAGTAGTATAGAAATCAAATGCACAAATGCATATGGCCTGCCTATTTCTCCTACAACTCCTGATGCATGATCAATGACAAAATGAGTAAAGACAAACAGCTCCTACAACTCGTGACCGCCCTCACATGGTTTCCGTGTCCTTGAGGAGCATCCCGCCCTAGGGCTGGACTCAAGGTCAGATAATGACTGTGTGTTGATCATGTGTTGAACCCCCTCCTCAAAATTCTTTGGATGTTTGGGTTCATTTGCTTTGCTCAATAAATGAGGAGTGCCTTTTTGGCATTACTCTTGTGCTGCTATACCTTAAGTCCCCTGGCTGGTCCTTTCAGATCTTCGATAACTCATGGCGTCTCCTCCCTTATCTGCAGGTCAGAGGCAGGGAGGGACCGAAAAGTGGCGCCCTAACAGGGACCCTTGAAACTCAGAGCGGAGAAGCTCTGAAGATCGTCAATCCGGTAAGACTCCCGGGAAAGCCGACATAGGGACAGGATCGAGACGTCAGGGACAACGTAGGGCCAACATGAAACTAAAGCACATAAATCAGAGGATTACTTAAAATTGCTTCGTGCTCTCCTGAAAACCTCAGGAGTGAAAACTTCTAAAAAAGACTTTGCTCGACTTCACAAATATATTAAAAAACATTGTTACTGATTGCTGCCACAAGGAACCCTCAGACAAGGTGACTGGAGTAATGTATTAAGAGATTTCAAAAAGGCTCACAGACAGGGAAACATTATCCCTGTACCTGTTTGGGTGGATCAATGGCCCCTCAATAAAGAAAAACTGGCAGCCTTACATACATTAGTTCAAGAACAGCTTTAGCTAAATAGATTAGAATTTTCCACAAGCCCGTGGAATTCCTCTGTATTCATTATAAAAAAGAAGTCCAGAAAATGGAGACTCTTATATTACTTAAGACAAATTAATGCAGTCCTTGAACCTATGGGTCCTTTACAAGAAGGCCTCCCTTCTCCAGCTATGATTCCAAAAGACTGGGACATGGTTATTATTGATCTTAAAGATTGTTTTTTTTTTTACAATTCCTTTAGCCATGGCAGATAGGGAAAAGTTTGCTTTTACTGTATCCTCCTTGAATTTACAAGCTCCTTCAGAAGGATTCCAATATGAAGTACTTCCTCAAGGAATGTTAACAGCCCTACAATTTGTCAAAATTATGTGCACAGGGCTCTCTTGTCCCCTCCTGGCGTGAGCAAGGAGCTGTCTGTTCTTTCACTGTATCTCTAAATAAAAGCCTCCCCTTAGCTCTTCTACCTTGACTGTTTGCTAAGTTCATTTATCAACTCCGCAAACAAGAACCCCAGAATCATCTTTGGGGACTTGTCCAGGATAACTTCAGAGGTGAGTATCAGCATCCAAGCCTGCCTTTTCTTTACTGTCCTTATAGAAGGAAGCCGTCTATGGCACACAACATCGGGCGCTCCTCAGCCACTTAAATAGGACTAGCCCAGTTGCTGATCTCAAAGTCTCGAGCGACAGGTTCCCCTGCGTCTCCCTCAGTGGATTCCCCGTCTCCCTTGGGAGCTGGGAAAGTCACCTGAGTGGAGGCCAGGATTCCCTTTCAGAGGCATCTCCGGGGATGCGAGGGACTGAGGAAAGCCGTGGGCAATTGCGAGAGTCTAGGTTGAGGCTGCACTTCAGCGGTTTCTCAAAGGCCCGCATGTCCAGAATCAGTCCCCGACCGCCCGACTGGGTATCCGTGAGGAGTGTCTCTCTTTCTCTGTCTCTGACTTCCGGCCTGCTTCTTCAGGCCGCCCTGGCCTCTGAGTGAGGCAGGGAACATTCCTAACTCTCTTCTAACTTCATCAGTTTCATGGAACCTGATGCCCACCACTGCAAGGTAAGAGACTGCTCTTATTCCTGACTAAATGCTGTACTCTTTATCTCATAAAATGTGTCTGAGCATCTGTTAGCCATTTAAAAGACGATCAGCATCAGCTACCAGTCTTAAGTCTGATTAGAAAGGCTTGGCCGCTGAGAGAAATATACAATATAATAAGGTTATTCAGCTAAATATATTTTGCCACAAAGAAGGAAAACAGTCAAAAGTCCCATAGACTCAGGGGGGCCATCAGGTGAGAAATTGGGGATCAACAGAGGTGAGGCTCAGAACCTCACCCCCCCTGTTTTGAGAGAAATCTTCTGCATCCGTGGATGTTTTGCTGCCCTTGTCTAGCTTGGATTAATACTTAGTCCATAGGCACACACCTGATCATCTACATTTGCCCTCTTACAGCACTACACTATGTTTTCTACCTTTATCTTGCATCTACCTACCACTTCAGCATTTTATTAAAAATAAAAATAATAATAATAATAAAGGGAGAAATGTGGGATCCACATATAAATCAAGTATAAAAATCAAACGAATATTCATATTTGACCTGATTGTTTAAAGTTCATAATGCGTGATCAAAACCGAAAGTTTCTGTGATGAATGCCCTTGTACTGTTCACCATGTAAGAATTTATTCACTATGTAAGAATTCGTTCACCATGTAAGAACTTGTTCGTTATGCTTCAGAAGATTGGAGACTGACGAGAATTAGGCTTGAGATGGATTAATGATTGTACATTGAGCATTGACCCCCCTATACTGAATTTTATTGTTGTTAACAACCATTTGATCAATAAATATGAGAGATGCCCTCTCAAAAAAAAAAANAAGTGTTTTAAGCTTTTTCTCTTAAGCTGACTGACAACAGTTTAGTAAATGACAATACCTTTATAAGCAGAATTGAAACATTTATCTTTCTCCCTACCTGACCCCTCCAGAATTTAAAAGCTTTCAGTATTTTTATATTTTATGGCAGTATGTTTATTTGCATAAGCGCAGTAAGAATCTGCTTTCCTTATAACAAGACCAATTAAAAACACTGGTTATGTTACCAAGGCTTTGACTAGAATCTCATACCTGAGAGACACGTGCATAAACTCAGATATGAACAGCTTTAAGGAACTAAGGTTGACTTTATATAGCCAACAAAGCCCCTTGGAAGAACTGGCCTGGTACCTTGCTTATACAGGGTTCCCAGCAGCTTTTTACCAGGTGAGTAAGGAAGGTGTCTTGCCAATGGGTTTCAGCCCCGGGCAAGTTCGCTATGGATTCAGTGTGACCAAAGAAATTGACAGCAAAACATTCTTTGGGGTGGAGGGGTTTATTACCCAGCTTGTTCTCCGACAGTAGGTCTCTATCTCCACCCAGAGCACTGGGGTGAGCTCTCTATATAGTGCAATAATAGCTTACTGCCTAAAGGTGTGGAAGCGGCACCCCAGCAACAGGACAGTTACATCATCAGGTGGTTTAAGTTCAGTGAGAATCCTGGCCATAGGAACCCCAACTTCCCCACAGAAGGTCACTTCCTGGCAGGTACAGGAACCTCAAAATGTCTCGGAGACCTCAAGAAGAGAGGAATTCACCCAAATATACAGGTACTGCAGGCAAAACCTGATGGCAAATCTGGCTTGGCTTTCTGGCCTCGAGAGGCCTTTAAAAGTCCAATTTGAAATTCCTTATAAAAAGTTCCAGCAAAGCACATTTAAAAGATCCTATGTAAGCAATTGCTCTTCTTGCTTCACTTATGCAAATAGTCAAGCCAAGTGTTAATCGTTTTCTTAATCTAATCACTTCTAATAAAAATGAGGGTGATTTTAGAGAAAAGTATTGCTTCAATAATGCAGCCTTATCTATACTAAATCCTAGTACTAGTCATTGGGATGTAAACTAGATCCAGAATTCTAGTTTCCCCAAAATATCTAGCTATGATTCTCTAGATGTTTTAATTTCCTCCCATCATTTCAATTAAAATTTTACTGTTTCTAGTCCTCATACTCAGCCACGCATTCTTAATCTTGTCTAGCTGCTCCAGAAAGGAAAATCCAACTCCAGATGTTGCTGCTTAACCTCATAACACAATTTGTTCTATCTTGCCTAGAAGCCATAAAACTGCAAATAGTAATAGAACTGGAACCCAGAATAGAAGCACCAATCTTCCGAGGCCCTCTCACTGACCACTGACAGAGACCTAACTGCACCCTTTACTGCGTCCCTTCTCAGGACTAAGCAGTCAGAGCGGTCAATGCCCGCTTTCCCTAGCAGTAGCTAGGGTCTCTATCTTTAGAGGGGGGAATGAGACAGGACCTTGAGCTTAGACAGAATAGGGCGAGGGCGTCCGGAGAAAGCAAGGCAGGATATCTGCGGTCAGAGCAATGTAACTACATGCAAGGAAACCCCCTACCAAAACTCGGTGTTAAACATTAAGCTCTAGAGTCATTCTTCAGTGAGATCAGTTAAAGCTCAAAAGACCAGAAGCAATTTGGCCTGGAATGTTTGAGTGTTCTGCAAATAAAGAAGGGTATCTCTTTATCACTGTAAACAGCCCTAGCAAACAGACAACAACCCAGTCCACCTTAGGGGCAGGGCAGGTGGTACAAGTCCACACTCTAAGCCTTCTCTTCACATTATCAAAGTATACACGGCATGGGGTGCATCCTTCCTGCTCTAATAGATTATCCTGGAAATAGTCTTGAAAGATTTCTCAGGGCTCTGCCGTCTGATTGTGACAACTTGAAGCTTCTAGATCCCACCTCTGTTGCAGTTGCAGCTGCATTCATCCTTCTGGTTCCTGGACTTGTCGGTGGAATGCAAAATGAAATATCTAAGTTAGCCTGTGCGTACAGTAAGACAACGAATTTGACTGCTTCCATATTAACTGAACTCAATCAAGACCCAGGAGAAGTGCGAGTTGCGGTGCTTCAAAATCGCGCTACTATAGATTATCCATTGTTAAAAGAACATATGGGATGTGAACAGTTTCCAGGAATATGTTGTTTTAATTTGTCTGATTTCTCTCAAACTATCCAAAATCAATTAGATAATATTCATCATGTTATTGATAAGTTTTCACAACTGCCTGGATTATCAAATTGATTCTCTTGGTTTCATTGGATATGACCAATACTTACGGGTTTACTTCTATTATGTATTTATTTTCCTGTTCTGGTAATGCGGGTATGTAATTTGATCACTAGCTTATTGAAGCCAATATATGCTTATGCTACTTTTCAAGAAGTAATGTCTAAGAAGTGATTGTTCTCTGTCTACATTACCCCCCAGTGAAAGTCCGTGCAGTGAATCATTGTATTTTGTGATTTTTATGATTATGGCTGGACGTAAGAGTATGAGGAAAAAGCATCAACCTACTTCAAATGCCTCTTTTTGCTGCATGTTATCTCCCTGTATGGCCCCGGAGGATGGCTGGATAGCCAGAGACAGGTAAGATTCCTCATGGGAGGAACAACCTAAGACAGGCACAGTCACAGGGGGGCCAACAGGCCAGGAGAAGGGGGCCAACTGAGGCGAGGCTTAGAATCTCGTTCCCCCATTTATGATAAGCTGACTGACAACAGTTTAGTAAATGACAATACCTTTATAAGCA